ACAAACTCAAAATGTATTATTCTTATATCTTTGCAACCTGATCGTTAAAACCTCTGATATTTCAAATTTATCTTATTTGATTAAATAGAATTTATAGTTTGTGACAAAGACTGGAATGGCAGGGAAAAAAGCTCAAGGCGTTTAATGGAATCTAGAAAGATTAAAGTTTGAAAACAAAATCAAGATAAAAAGAAAAATATCAATGATATTCAGGGACCCAAAACACTGTGGAATAAGAAGACGACTTTTCAGCATTTTAGGTGTATTTAATCAAGTCAAAATGTAAATAGTGGCTAGAAAATTAACGTAATAAATGAAATGTGTGCGTCTGTGTACACGGCTGTATTTTATGTTCTATGGAATATAAAATCAAACTTGAGACTAACTGTCGTCTTCCTATTCGATTCTTTTATGATTCCTTCTGGAAAAAGGTTTAAAAATGTGACATATTTTGAATTCAGGGTGTAGGGGGACACTGGGTGCACGTGCCCAACCGGGGGGGGGGTACGAATGATAGGCCACATTTATGAAATGGTTAAATGTGTTTAGGGGAAAAATCAAAAATTTGACATTAAAATGCAAGTTTTTTTCATCCTATTTTGATATGTTTTACACAAAATTCAGCAAGAAAACCCCTAAACATTATTATGGCACATCACGTAAAAATAACTAACTTTATTTTTGATGTACTGTGGGGGGGGGGGACTGGACATCAAACGGCTTGTTTTTATCCTCTTTTAAAAAGTTAAAATATAATAATAATATTATGTTCAAATATATATGTTCTAACCCCAAGCAAAGTTTAAGTATGAAAGATATAAATTTCTTTGATAAAGATAAAAATCTATTCAATATATTTTTCAAAATATGGATTTCCACAACGTCTTCTATGGGGTGCACAATAAGACAAATTTTGCGCGCGGATGAGCGTAAAATGTCCCCCCCCCCCTACTGCACAAAAGCTCTCGCACGCCCCTGATTTTGATTAGTATTATATATTTTTTTTTAGTTCTAAAACATGCGTGGAGTCCTTTTTTTGGCTATTCCTTGACAAATCTAAAGTGTATAAAGTAATACATTATGTATAATATGTATATTGTATAGATCTTCATGAATTATACATTAGTTTTATATACTTATCTGTCACATTGATTTAATAGTTCTAAACCCAAAAGTTGTGTCAAAAAATCATTTAAACAAAATGCCTTTCTCTTTCCCCCATTAAAATAAATACATATAGAATATGAAATCATTAAAATAATTTATATAAGAAAAGTACTTATAAAATATAAGACCTGTATAAAAAGTATATTGAAGCTAAGTATTTACTCAAAGAAGAACTAAGTTCAGAGTAGACAATATTTATATAATTCTCAGTATGTAATATCAGCATAATATGTGTACTGTATGTATGTATATATAAAAAATGAAAGTATGTAGAATTGAAAGTCTAAATGTCTTTCTGTCTGCCAATAAAAATAATCTAAGAAAAATTTGAGTAAAGCCTAATCTAAAGATAGTATGCAGGGTTACCCACAGAGGATGAGGCTTGAGAGACAAGTTTATGAAAGGAATATCTTTCTTCTTACAGTTCTCTAGCGCTTAAGTTTCATGTTACATTTTTATTCTTATTTTACAGTTTACAAAACCAAGGTTATAATGCAAGAAATGTTAATTGCAGTTGCGTATACTCTGCGTTCATATCGAATCCAGTTCTCTCTGTGCGGAATGTGTAAACTAGAATAGATGCATTAGTGTTCGTTAAGTATCCGAGGAGGATAAACGCATTAAGTCACCTCTGAAATAACTTTCCTTGCTTTATAACCTTGATAAAACCAGAGATGAATCCGTCTAATACAAGGTTGTTTATTAAGGTTGATACTCTGGATGCGCTAAATGTACTAAAAATGTCGTCGCAATAGCAATGGACAATCAAAATCCTATTATGACGTCACAAATTATTCTGAAGAGCTCATCAAACTTTCAACTTAGGTGGTAAATATAACATTCAAAGATAGATAGATTTAAACAGTTGAAATTTGAAAAAAATCGTATTCAAACTGAGAAAAAATTCCAATCCGTTAATCAAGTATATCAGTGACGTCATTCAAGGATTTTTAATGTCTATTGCTATGAACACGACATTTTTAGTACATTGCAGCGCATCCAGAATACCTTACCATAATAAACAACCTTGGTCTAATGTATTTTTAGTGAACACCGTAAACTGTACAATGTACATATATCTATAAACTAGTTAGTATTGGCGGATTTCCTTCTCCTTAACCTTTTTACTTTCATCAGATCCTTGCAAAACAACTTAATCTATCCTGGGTAAGGAGTATGAAATAGAAGGGAGATACAACTGACTTGGCCCGCCCTACCATATTATTATACATGCTTTGCAGACGGGTACTCCATTTGTATAAGAAATATTCAGAATAGGTTATTGTATACGCGGTAATTGTACATCAGACAAATATTTCTTATACAAATGGAGTACCGTCTGCAAAGCATGTATAATCATATGGTAGGGCGGTCCGCGTCGGTTGTATCTCCCTTCTATTTCATACTCCTTGATCCTGGGTCATAATATACAGAGTTACACACAAAGCACTGTGAACTGAACAGAAGGAGAAGAAAAAATGCGTGCGTGTCGCAGTATCTGTGACGGAATTTATTCAGACTTCTCAATACTTGCCCATATCAGTTGATATGACATTAAAATAATTCCAAAATTAACCTTTTAATTGTTCAATCGAAAGAGTTTCTGGTCGTTATTAAATTCTCATTCTTTGTGGGTAACCCTGAATATTAGAGCGCAGGGAAGGTTCGTTATTTATCTTTGGTAATATTTGTGACTTTTTTCTTCCTTAATATTTAAATCATGGGTTCAATGTTGGGAATTTTTGAGTAAGTGAGTAAAAATGTGTGGTGGAAAAACTAGAAATGGGAATCGAATACAAAAAGTAAGACTAGAATATCAGACAAAAACTGTGAGAATACAGTGAGAAACAGAAAACACTGGAATTGGATAAGGACTTTTAGATTCATGGCATTATGAATTTAGATATTTAAATGAACATGTGACACAACAATTGTGTAGTGTAAACAGACCCATTTTACTAAAAAAAATGATTCAACAAGTTACTTGCAAAACTATTAGCTTTGTAACAACATAAAATACAATTGAGTATTTCTCTAATGTCGTCTTCCTACTCCTCAGTTGTCTGGTTCTCACTGTAGAATATAAAAATCCAAGAATGGAATTATAACAAAACAAATGAAATATCTAACATAGAATGTAGGAAAGAATGTAGAAATGTTTATGAAAAGTTTGCAAATGTAACCAACTGTGCAGTGTGCAGTGATTACGTTAAAACTTTAAAACTCTAAAAATATAAAATTTTCTGCTATCCTTATAAACCTACTGCTAGTCTTGCAAACCTATTGGAAACCTAGTAAACCTACTGGAAACCTAGTAAATCTACTGGAAACCTAGTAAACCTACTGGAAACCTAGTAAACCTACTGGAAACCTAGTAAACCTACTGCTAGCTGAGTAAGCCTAGTGGAAACCTGGTAAACCTACTGGAAACCTAGTAAACCTACTGAAAACCTAGTAAACCTTCTGGAAACCTAGTAAACTTACTGGAAACCTAGTAAACCTACTGCTAGCTAAGTAAGCCTACTGGAAACCTATTGAACCTACTGGAAACCTAGTAAACCTACTGGAAACCTAGTAATCCTACTGGAAACCTAGTAAACTTACTGGAAACCTAGTAATCCTACTGGAAACCTAGTAAACCTACTGCTATTCTAGTAAACCTTCCGGAAACCTAGTATACCTACTGCTAGCATAGTAAGTCTACTGCTAGCATAGTAAACCTCCTACTAGCGTAGAAAACCTACTGGAAACCTAGTAAACCTACTGCTAGCCTAGTAAAACTACTGAAAACATTTTAAACCTACTGCTAGCATAATAGACCTAATGCTAGCCTAGTAAACACACAATAAAAAATCTGTTTTTGAGAATTTTTCTATTTTTTAGTATATTTTTTAGTATATCAAATATATTGTAAATGTCTTCATATTGGTTGTATTAAAGAGCTCTGCTAAACTTATGTTCAAGCGTAAAATAAAGCAATAAAGTTTACTGGGTTTAGCCTGAGAACTTTTATATACCGCATAGATGGGGCCAAGAAACACATTAAAACTTGTATTACAAAGAAGTGCATCAGATCTTGAGACTGGAACCAGATTTTCATTGAAATGTCAAGATCAAAAAAGGGTAAATAATGCATTCTTCTTTAATTCAAAAGATTTGAGCCTAGTTTAAATCTCTCAAAATACGAGATTGATCCGGGTTTTTTTTGATAGAATATTTTATTGTTCATCCTTTTTAATCTCTAATTTACTACAGTAAAACCCTTAATAACGAATACATCGGAAGAATTCATCAAATGTCGTCTTGACAATTTTTCAATGAGTTTTATACTATATTACGTAAATTTCAGTATTTTCGAAAATGAATAAATAGCCATGAATATGCGGGAACAGTTTTAAAGAGTTCCATATAATCATTTAATTAAGAAACTAAATATCTGCAACATTCCATTATCAGAAAGTGAAGAATACGACATTTAATGAATTCTTTCGATGTATTCGTTACTAAGGGTTTCACTGTATTGCCTCTATCTTTCCACCAGATGTTTACACAAAAGAAAAATTGTTTGAAAAATCAAATATATGCCAGGAGGTTTCAAAAATGTAAAAATCAGAAATTTAGAATTTGCGTGAAGCGTTCGGTTTCTTTACAAGGAAATTCTTTTTTTTTGCAGCTAAAACGCAAACCTTAATTTTACAAAAAAATTAGGGCAACGTTGTTTTATGTGAACCTTAATCTAACCAGTCTTAACAGTTGTGAAACTTACTTTATATTCGGAAAATAAGGTTCAAAAATTATTATGCTATAAATAAGCTAAACTTTTAAAAACCTACCAAATTTGACGGAATTAGAAGAAATAAAACTCTAAATATCTTAATCTTGTTGCTTTAAACATGTTGTTAACTTGTTGCCATATTAACACCTTGAACCCGGTGGGTTGGTTGAAACTGTAAATATAACCCCGGGATTCGGTCTCCAAACCGCGGATCAGCCTCCCTCAAACCATCAGGAGAAACCCTCCGATACCAGCCACAATAATTCATCTCAAATATGTATTTGAACTTTAACTCCAGACCAAATACTATATTTATTTAGAATCTAAAGTTACATTACATCAAAACAACAAAGAAACATTGTTTCTTTCATCTTCTGGTTCCAAGAAGAAGTTATTATTTCTTGAAAAAGTAGAAAATAAGTTTTTCTACTCCTGTCGGCTCCATTTTCTTGATTTTCTTATTTCTTCGAAAGAAGGTAAAAACTGCTATATACGGATGTTGAACGGCCCAGATCAATTCCAAAACCAGTTCTATATTCAGAACAGGTTTGCAATTAAGAGAACCAGTTTTAGAACTTATTTCTTCAAGGTTCATCGGGCTCAATTAAATAGAACTTAATAAATTTAAGGAATTATAACGTAGCTTTAAGCAACTGGTCACCTTAATTACTTAAAGAATAAATTGTGGAACACGATGCCTGGCCGCGTTAAACAAGTTCCACAAGATTCAACAGAATGAGATAGAGCGGATACGGGGCATAGTACTGATAGATGATCTACACGTGTGATATCGATATTGACTCTAGTTCTGAACCCTTTAGTAATAAGTTATAAGAAATATATATACTGGAAGTTATTTATGCGTTTTTATTAGAGTCTGACTCACGTCCTCTATATTGGTGAACTTTGAACATTAAGTGATACATCCGAGCATCATGACCGATATGAAAGAAACTCCAACTGAGTTCGTCGCCAAAGTCTCCGTCAAGCTCCCGGATTTCTGGACAGAGGACCCCGACCTGTGGTTCCTAGGTAGAGCTCAGGACCGCAGAAGCCCATCACCAAACCGCTGTAGTCAAACCCCAGGTCCATCAAACTCTGAGTGTTATTTCCACAAACGTTTTGGTCCTGCAGCCAACAATTGTCGCCCTCCTTGCAGTTTCCAGGGAAACGCCAGAGCCGACGGGAGAAGGAAAAATTAAACAGCCTTATTATAGTTATAAGAAATATATATACTGGAAGTTATTTATGCGTTTTTATTAGAGTCTGACTCACGTCCTCTATAAAATAAACTTTAAGAAAAGAAAAGATCAAACTCAATTAAAAATTAAATTGATTTAGACATAGATAAACCTTATTTAACGAGTAGATTTAAAGATAGAGGCCGGCAATGTATGTTAGTTAAACTAAGAATGTAGTATTGTGGAGAAATGTTTTAGGATTTATTTGAGACATATAAAACGTTTTAATGATGTATAATTACTGAGTTTTAGCGCAAAGTCGTCGTTCAAAATCATCCATTTGTGTGGTTACGTTTTGAGAATCGATTTTTTTTAAATTATTAAATAAGAAAAATGTATCCAAATTCTACAATAAACTAATTAGATGTTTAGGAACAAAGTTCTCAATAGAAATTTATCGATAAATCAATGTTAGAACAAATTAATTCGTTTTCATCATTATATTGATTTTCTTATTCTTACGAATTTGTTTGCAGATTTCTACAAATTCTTCAAATGTCGTCTTTTCAATAAAAATTCCAGAAAATCTGCAGAAAATGATTGTGAACAATGAGAGATTACAGAAACTTATAACTGAATAAGATTACTTAATTTCAATGATAAGATTAATTTTTATTTTCTCAACCTTTTCCTTAACAACTTATTAGTTTACCGTAGAATTTTTGTGACATTTTGTCGTCGTTATTTAACAATTTTTTAAAAATCGATTCTCAAAAAGTAACTACCCAAATGAATGATTTTGAAAGTCGACTTTGCGCTCAATTTCAGTAATTATATATTACTAGCCTTAGAGGGCGCTTCGCGCCCATCTTCTAAATTAATAGTGAACATGTTCTCTTTGTGTACATCGTAAAACAAAACAAAAATAATTCGCGGATTTTCACAAAAAATTTCGTGGATTTTCAAAATTTTTACAAATTTAATGAAGATCGAATTTTGATGGAGACAAATATTTAAAATTTCAATCATTCATAAACCTTCCCTGGGGTCCCTAGATGTCCCACAAAAAATTTGGGCCCGATCGGTTCAGCCGTTTTGACGTTTATTGGATACAAACAGACAGACAAACAGACAGACAAGCCAAATTTATATATAGATTAAAGCGTTTTATATGTTTCAAATAAATCCTAAAAAATGTCTCCACATTACTACATTCTCAATTTAGCTGACATACATTGCCGGTCACTCCCTTTAACTTCATTAAAGAATAAATAAACCTTAATCAAAGAATTCATTCATCTTAATTAAAGAAAAGTTTTTCATTGATTAAAGAATGTATATTATTAAAAACTAAGTAATATTTTAACAATAATTAAGTAAAATTTTAACAATAATTGAAGAATAGATTCACTGCTAATTAAAGAATAGATTAACAATAATTAAAGAATAGATAAACCTCAATTAAATAATAGATTAACAATAATTAAAGAATAGATAAACCTCAATTAAATAATTGATTAGCAATAATTAAAGAATAGATAAACCTCAATTAAATAATATATTAACAATAATTAAAGAATAGATAAACCTAAATAAATTAAATAAAAGACTAACAATAATTAAAGAATTTTGATTAACTGTTGATCAAATGAATTTACCTTTCGGGGTAGAAACAACTCACTAATTTTATCTAGATCTTGAGTTTTTATGTAAACATCAGCTTGAATAAATTTTACAAGAAGGAACCAGATTCTAATATTTTCTGAGAAAATTGGCGGATTTTAATTTTTAATTTAAGAGGATTTGTTGTTTTTCAATCTTTTTCTCGATTCAAAAGTTGTTAAAGATCAACCAACGCTTCAACACTTGATGTCGATTTCCAAAGGGGTTTCTATTTAATTTGAGGATTAGTGCTTGATTACTACATCAAAATTATCAATGCAGGACACAAAAAGAATAGAATATATATTAGAGTGGAATTTAGAATCCCTCGGTATGAATTGTGTCAGTCCCTTTCAGGCTGAAAGGGAGTTCAAAGTGTACAAATCGTGTAAATGTTCACAAATTATATGCAGTAGAGTACATTAATAGAGTATGTTCCCTGGGGCCTGGACTATTCATTTCAATTTCGATTTTTTTTAAGTTAACTTTATGAAATGAATTAGGTAAATAAAAAACATCATTTGATTTATAGTTATAACGTAAAATCATCGTTTGTAAAGTGGAAGGCATAGAGTCTATATGAAATGATCATTGGTCAATTATGAAACCAGCCTATTTCATAATTTGGTTTTCTTTTAATATTAATTTTAGATTTTCTATAAAATGATGTTCCAGTGCCCAAAAGGTTATATAGCGCAAATATGTGAAGTACACCTGCAGTATGGAAACAGTACAACAAAATGGCCGTTTTACACTTTTTTCTAGTAAATTCCACTCTAATATATATTATATTCTCTTTGGCTTGAACGCTTGATGTCAATTTCTAAAGGGGTTTCTATTTAATTTGAGGATTAGTGCTTGATTACTACATCAAAATTATCAATGCAGGACATGATCAACATGGGAAATCGAAAAGGAAATAAATTAATCTGTAAGTCTGCATAAGATGGAGATTGAGATTTACAGCACAAAAGTTTTGAATTTTGTTTTTAATTTCATGGTCAATTTGTTATTCATCTTAATTATAATTATAACTATAAGTATTAAATATATATTAGGCAGTTAAAGAAAAGTTTAAGAACTTTTAATGGGCAAATGCATTTTTCTTCGAATTAGTTCAAGGAGCCCTCCGTCATAACCTTTTAGTCTGAAAGGGAGTTAAAAGTGTTCATTTCATGTAAATGTTCACAAATTATATGCAGTAGAGTACAGTAATACAGTGTCTTCCTTAGACTATCCATTTCAATTTCTAATTTTTTTAAGCTGTTAGATAAACTTTATAAAGCGAATAAGATATAACGGAAAAGTATCAAAATGAGCTGAAAACATTAGAATGGTGGATATCAAGATTAATGCTTAAACTCCTGGTTTACTAAAACCAAGATTATTTTAAAATTTATTCGATATCCAAGAAAGAAGTTAAAAATTTCACCAATCAGCGTGTCATGTTAAGATGCACTCTTTAACTTTTGAAAAACTGGTGTTGCTGGTGTCATCACAGCCCGCTTATATGTATGCTTCTATCTACCGATCTATACTATTCTGGGCTAGTGTACATGTAACTTTGTCGGTGGGCTACGCAGCTGTTATATCTGAGTGGACCCTAGATATTTTTAGGAAATTTCTAAAACCTCTGCATAGCAAATTTTAGATTTTACTATAACAAATTTTTATTCTGGCCATTGTTCATTCTATAAAAATAATCTGTACTTTTAAAAAAGTTTGAAGTGGATTCCAGGGTCCAAATTAGAGAAGAACTTTGGTAGATAGTGGGCCCTGGAGTAAGCAGAAGTGAGATACTGTAGCTAAAATCTTGTGAACACAGCATTTTCCTCTTGGTAGCATCAAAGGCGCCTTGTTTTCAGAATTCCAAAATGTGGTCGCCGTTTTTGTACCTTAAGAATTGACCAAGATATTGAGAAATTTGTTTAAAATTCAAAATATTAAATATCAGCAAGGTTGTTTAGTATCTCCAATTCAATTTTTATAATACAAAGAAGGAGGCTAAAACTTAAACTTTTAAAGACTTACAATGTTTTTCTATACTCCTTTAACATCTATTAACTTTACGAAAACCAAAGACAAATTGTAAGTTTCAGGGTCCAATGTCTAACGTCCTGCATAACACCCCAAGGAAAAATAACATCAAACCTTAACTATGATATTTCCATCTTTTATATCCATGGGTGTCATATCAATTGAACTAAACATTGATTGAACAAACGTAAGTTTTGGATTAATAAAACTAATGTTCAAACTGACAATGTTTTTTAATAATTTCATATTAACATGATTAAATTTATATTTGTT